TCACTTACGTCCAAACATGGGGAGTGTGATTGCCACGCGTAGTGAGGGAGGCCGTGTGGATATACGGGCAAATGTACTTTGGACCATAAAGTGATAGTCGTTTTCAGAAGGGACCTCCTTGTAAAGGAAACAAAGTAATCCGAGTCTATGAAAATTTACTCGTGATAGGCACTCAATACATGTTTCTTTATTCCATGTGTTCCACGGCCACTTTGATGGCATCATTGCGTTCTTATCTAAAGCAAACTAAATGAAACAAAAAGTAAATACATAAATAACTAAAAGTTTGATCTAATGTACATACCATGACAGTTTCACTGCTAGACTTTTAGTCATTGAAGTTCACTGTAAATATAAATGAAATATTCTTCTGTTGGTTCATTATGCAGGCAAAGCATCATTTTCAGTATATGATTCAATATACATTAAGTGACCAAAACCTAAAATTGCATCTTACTTAAGAATGCGTGACTCAGTTTTTTTCTATTAATATATAATTGACAGTGTCTATTTCTTTATGTTCTTGAATCATCTTATTATATTCAACTTTATCATTCCGTTTATAGAAGTTATAAAAATTGATTACTAGATTTTACCAGATAAGAGGTTTTGTGACACTGTTTAATTGTATCAAATTAATTTATATCTGTTTATTAAACTGATACTCTTGTCCTGTGGTACATTAAATACCTTCTAGATTTCTGCCTGATTTCCTTTAAACCAATCTAGAATACTAAAGAATGCACTTTCTTTGTTACTTGGAACAACAGTGATAATAGTAAGAGCGGCTAACATTTCTTGTGCTTACGATGTGCTGGTACCTCACATGCCTCGTTGCCCCTCTGTCCTGCTCCGCCGACACAGCAAGCCAGTGGGGCTGCTGCACTTGCCATCCCCGAATCTCAGAGGAGAAGGCGGTTTCAGCCAAGCCCAGGCGGCATGGGCAGGGTCTCCGAGGATGGGAACTGCGATGCCAGCTGACCACCCGACCCCGGCCGTGATCCTCACCACTGTCCTTCAGAGAGGCGACACCTCTTCTGCCCCACTGAGACATGGGGGCGCCCGGCATCGCTGTCTGTGCTCACCTGGTGACACAGCCGGGCCCCTGTTAAAATGCACCTGTGCTGCCTACAGCCATTGTCAGCCGTTAAACCTTCAGTTCGAATCCTTCAGCACACTGAGGGGACGGGGCAGAGAAAGCTGGAGGAGCGGGGACACAAGGGCGTTTCCCACGGTGGCTGCGGACGAGCGATGCAGACGGACCCTCTTGTGTCCTGCAGGCTGACCCCGCCGCTCGCCCCCTTTCTCATTTCCCCCCAAGACCCTTCTTCCCGCCCTCGTCCTCAGACCTCAGACTGTTCCCCGAGCAAACCGCGCACTGTCTTACCTGCATTCTTATTTCCTATCCCTGCTCCCGGGAAGGCGCACTTCGCTTTTCAAATGTTCTCAACTCTCGGTCACTGCTGGGTCTGCTGGGGCTGCAGCTCCCGGCGCGCAGACGGCCTCGTCTCGCCCCCCGTGCGTGCCCACCTGCACGCGCCCCCCGACGCCCTCCCTCTGCGCGCATGCTCAGCACCACTCCTCCCGTCTGCTCCGGGCTCGTTTTGCACGGTTAGTTCTGCCCTTGTGACGGGACCCAGCACACAGAGCCCGAGCTTGCAGTCCACACCCGCAGGCCCCCAGGGCAGGGCGGGGGGCTCCTCCCTCAGCCCTTCATGGAGTGGAGGGGCCGCGTTCCAGGGAGCTATCCCTGCTAGACACGGGACGGAGGCTCCCGTGCAGCCCGTTTCCCCGGCTCGCTAGCTCTTCATGAGCTGGGTCATAACCCGTCCAGCAGGTCCCGACTGCGCGTCCACCGGCCGAGCCACGGCCCCCAGTCTCTCGGTCGAGCACAGACGTTCCCGTGAAGGCATTTTGTAGCAGAGAGCGACGTTTAGATGGGTGACTTTGAGTGAAGGAGGTTCCCTTCCACCCTGCGGCTTGCTCACCCAGCAGGAGGGGCCCCCATGATGGTCCGTGGGGCGTGGCATGGGCAGGCGGACTCTGTTTATCTTTTCCATCAGGAGAGCACAGAGTGCTCTCTGTTGTCTCATTGTTTATTTCACATAAATAATTTATCCGCTGAGTGGGCCCCTGTGCTCCTGTGCAGACACTGCAGTGCACCAGGTGTGCAGGGCTCTGCGGGGACCCAGGGCTTCGCTGGCGTCCACAGGCGGGCAGCGTGCAAGGTGGGTCCCGCGCTGGCGTCTCTGCCCTGCTCTGGGGAAAGAGATGCGTTCTTGCTTTGCCGCACACCTCCAACGGTTGCCCCCGGAAACGTGAGCTCTAAAGTCCCGGAGTGGGTTGTCCTTTGACGTGTGCTGTGTGACAGTCCCCCTTGGAAACACCCTTGTTGGCCTCAGCCGTGATGCATGGGAACCCCCTCGTCTATTCGCTTTAGGAGTCTGCGGTTTGGGAAGGCTGAGGTTCTTCCCCACCCTACTCAGGCCACTGTCACCATCTGCGGTACCTCCGCAAGGCCCAGCCTGGCCAGCTAGGAGGTGGGCACTGGCCGGGGGCACTAGCGCCCGCTCCCAGCGGCTTCAGAGCGGGTGGTGCTTCCTGAAGACCAAGAGCGCCAACCTGGGGCATCATCGGGCATTTTGTTTCATTACTTATTCAAATCCCAAGTTGTCAGGGGAGCATGTCTGCTTTCTCTCTCTGCCTGTGGCTCTTCC